GGACCTCCAGCTTGGCTAATCACCTCAGGACCCCTAAACCTGGACCCTCCCAGCCTGGCTCCCCATCACGAAAACACAGCCCGGGACTCACAGCCCGGATCCTCAACCTGGAACCCCCAGCCAGATCCTTACCCTGCCCCCCCATCCCAGGGCTTTCCCAGGCCCAGACCCCCAGTTGGGATCCTCACCTGGGATCCCCACACCAGGAGTCCCTGCCCGGGACCCCACCCTGACACACCCCTGGGGCCCACTCCAGTGTTTGGTCTGGGGGAGGCCTGCGAGGGGGCCCTGGCCCTGAAGGTCGGTCTTTGGCTTTCAGAAGCATGACCTGGAGGTCGCAGTCAAGTGCATCAACAAGAAGAACCTCGCCAAGTCCCAGACGCTGCTGGGGAAGGAAATCAAAATCCTCAAGGTGAGCTGGAGCCTTGTGGGGGGAAGCAGCGAGGCGGGGAGGCCAGCTGCCCCTCACTCACCAGAAACTTGGGTCTCTGTTCTAGGAACTAAAGCATGAAAACATCGTGGCGTTGTATGACTTCCAGGTGAGGTTCTGGGCTGCTGTCTGCTGGGGTTGGGCTGGGGTCCGGTTGCCCCCTCAGGCTAGACCCGCTTCTCAGCCTCAGGGCCCAGGGTTGGAGTCTCCAAGGGCAGGGGACAGTGGTGGGAACTAGCCAGGCATCTGAGTGTGGGGATGGAGTGCCAGGCCTGTCCGGGCCTTAGGTCCCAGAGGACCCGGAGACCCCATCTTGAGCTGGGCTTTCTCTGGGGCTGGGCTTCCTCAAGGAGTATCCCACTTCTCCAGCTGTTGGGCTGGGGAGGGGGTGCGTGGGCCACAGGTGGCTGGGTGCTTGTGGGGCGGACTGGGTTCCCCATCATGTATATCTGGCTACAGCGCGGCCTGGTGCTGGCCCCTCCCCCTCAGAGACTGAGCCAGTGGTCCTGGCCGTGAGTCTGTGACTCAGGCAGGCCCGGGCAGTGCTCTGGCCTGACCCACCTGTCTGGGCCACCGTGTGTTTGTTGACATTGCTCCAGAGGGCTGGCATTGGACAGCCTCTCCCTGCGTCAGACTGGGGGAGGGGCCGCCGGAGATTCCTTCTCGCTGGCAGTTAGGGCTGGGCCGCTGGGCACAGAGCAGCCACTGGCTGGCCGATGAGGCCACCTCAGGCCGGGCTGGCCCCAGAAGGCAGGCACTGCGACCAGGCAGCTTCCCACGCCCCCTCACCCCGCCCTGGGCCCAGCAGCAGGCAGGGGGTGGGGAGCCTGGGTGCCCAGCCGGGACCAGGAACCTGAGGCTGTGGATCCAAAGTGCTGACTAATGGTTTTGAAACCTGTTTACTGAGGCCGAGGGCCCAGCCCCTGGCTGAGGGAAGTGCCTGGCCCAGCCGGCTGTGTTTTGGTGGCCTCCTCCCTCTGCCCGGCAGAGCTCTGCTGTGGCCTTGGGGACAGGGCCGGCACCTTGTGACGGTGGGGCGGCTCCGTCCAGAGTGACAGCGAGTCCCTGGAAATGCAGGCACGCTGTGTTCTGGGTCCGCAGGGCTGCCCTCCTGCCCGCCCTCTTCGCTTCCTCTCTGCCTCTTCCCACCCTTTCCTCTGCCCCTCCCTCTCCCCTTCCTCCTTCCTCCTTCCCACGTTCTGAAGTCTCTTGTGGGGACCCAGCTTGTGCACCAGGCCTGTGGGTAGCAGCGCTGAGTGTCAGGGCAGACCCCGTGGGGGCACCCCTCTGTCTTGGAGCCACGCCGCTTGGGGCTCCCTGCCAGCCCGCCCGGAGCCCCGTCCCTGGGTGTCTCCAGAGTGGGCCTACGACCCTTGGTGCCTCTGCCACCCCAGGGTCTGCCTTCCCGTTTCAGCTCCGTCCCGTCCGGCCACACACCTGGCTGTGGGCATTTGCCACTTCCTCCCATGTTGGCAGCGCTGCAGCTTCCTCTGTTCAGCAAGGGCTAAGAGTGCCAGCTGCAGCCCTCTGGGCTCCAGCGGCCAGGGCATCTCGGCAGGAGTGCTGCCGCTCTTGCCCCGCTGGTGCTGAGATCGGTCTTGTGTCCTGGAGACTTGTTTGAGACAGACAGCAAGACCCAGGAAAAAAATAACTGGCTTTTAGAAGTAGGTGACAAATGACTTGGCTAAGGAAAAAAAAACAAATGTGAGAGGAGAGCATAGTCCCGGTGCTTTGGGAGGCCAAGGCTGGAGGGTTGCCTGAGGGGCACAGTTACCCAGAGGCCAGGAGTTGACCAGCCTGGGCAGCATAGTGAGACCCCCCCACCTGTATTTCTAAATTTTACTCTTTAAAAAGCAATAAAAGGCAGTTGTCCTGTCTCATCCCTGCCCAGATAGAGCTCTGCTGGCTTTCCTCCTCAGGTACCTGCGTCCTTTGTTTCTGGGTCCCGGGGACGGCCACCATCACTAGCGGATGTGTTTATGTGTGTCTTTCCCTACCACACCCACTGTTCCTTGCTGTGAACGTTGTCACTTACGAGGACAACTCGGAGAGGGTTCTGTGTTCCTCTGCCGCTGTCTCGAGCTACATCAGGAAAGTCCAGGTAGCCGGGCTCGGTGGCTCAGCCTGTAATCTCGCGCCTTTGGGAGGCTGAGGTGAGTAGATTGCCTGAACCCGCGGGTTCGAGACCCTCCTGGGCAACTTGGTGAGACCTCATCTCTACT